AATCCCGCAAGAAATAATGAAAAATATAGATTCCTACATAGGCTCTTTCAAGGCAAAATAAATGGGACAAGAAGCAGAAGAAGGAGAAACACTTTTTGGGTGAGAAAACCTGGAGATGAATCTAGAGGAGTCATTCTCAGTGGGGGGACCTGGCATATTTGAGGTGGCCACAGTCTGGTAACAATTCTTCACACCCCACCATATAAGGTTCGTCACGCAATGCATACAATCCTGAATCGGGATGTACTTTTTTCATATTATGTTTATGGCCATGGCCAAAAAACGGTGAGAATGGCTAATCAAGAGACAGGCCAACATCATTGTTTAGAATTGCCATGTCTAAAGTTGGGACTTGGTGATGTTGAGCCTCAAGTAGGAGTGACTGAGAAGAGGAAGCCTGTGCATGCTTTAATACTCACCTGTGCCTTCCAGCTTTGTACATCCATGCACGAGTAAACAACATGGCATCCTGGCATCATACCTGCCCCAGGTGCTACAAACCTGTTGGGTGGATCAGCAGCATCCAAGGCTTTTCTTTCCTAGGTCATGATTTATCTCCATGTCAGCCCTACTAGCAGCAACGCTGCAGGATCTCAGGCACAGATGTCTCCCGTCCCCTGTTACATGCATGATCTCCCCATGCCCGCTTGGTCACAGGTGATAGCGGAAAAGGAACATAAGCAGATGCTCCCAGATATCCTAGTGACCCGCTTCCTTCCCTAGATGGAAGCAGAGAGCCTCTGCTTAGTGTACCCAATTGTTTTCCTTTCGTTTTTAACAGGGGTGGGAAAAGAGCCATGATATGAATGGGAAGTCAGCAGAGATGGCACCTGGGCATTGTGGGGAAAGGCCAAGGTAACTGTAAGGGGTGTACTTCTTCAGTCTCGGAGGCCCTGCATGCAGTCCCCAGGGATATGCACCCCTGTGTTAGATTATTCATTGAATTGAAGGTATAACGAGCAGATTGTGGGAACATCTACATGCAAAGCATATTCTCTGCCGGTTCTCCTGCTGATGATGTTAGATAGGAAACGAAAGCCCCTGCTTTCTGAAAATGAAAGCAATCATCATCTGTGCTCTGAGTTTACAAGCCTGGGAGGGCCACCTTGAAATTTTGACTCACGTGAATTAGGAGAAGGGAGCAGCCTGAAAGCATGAGCTGTAGCTGTCCAAGTATGGATAGAATAACATGGGGTTGGATTCTGCCACCATGTTGTAGGGTATTTGAGAATGGTTAATCAAGAGACAGGCCAACATCATTGTCTAGAATTGCCATGTCTAAAGTTGGGACTTAGTGATGTTGAGCCTCAACTAGGAGTGACTGCGAAGAGGAATCCTGTGCATGCTTTAATGCTCACCTGTGCCCTCCAGCTTTGTACATCCATGAATGAGTAAGCAACATGGCATCCTGGCATCATACCTGCCCCAGGTGCTACAAACCTGTTGGGTGGATCAGCAGCATCCAAGGCTTTTCTTTCCTAGGTCATGATTTATCTCCATGTCAGCCCTACTAGCAGCAACGCTGCAGGATCTCAGGCACAGATGTCTCCCGTCCCCTGTTACATGCATGATCTCCCCATGCCCGGTTGGTCACAGGTGATAGCGGTAAAGGAACATAAGCAGATGCACCCAGATATCCTAGTGACCCGCTTCCTTCCCTAGATGGAAGCAGAGAGCCTCTGCTTAGTGTAACCAATTGTTTTCCTTTCATTTTTAACAGGGGTGGGAAAAGAGCCATGACATGAATGGGAAGTCAGCAGAGATGGCACCTGGGCATTGTGGGGAAAGGCCAAGGTAACTGTAAGGGGTGTACTTCTTCAGTCTCGGAGGCCCTGCATGCAGTCCCCAGGGATATGCACCCCTGTGTTTGATTATTCATTGAATTGAAGGTATAACGAGCTGATTGTGGGAACATCTACATGCAAAGCATATTCTCTGCCGGTTCTCTTACTGATGATGTTAGATAGGAAACGAAAGCCCCTGCTTTCTGAAAATGAAAGCAATCATCATCTGTGCTCTGAGTTTACAAGCCTGGGAGGGCCACCTTGAAATTTTGACTCACGTGAATTAGGAGAAGGGAGCAGCCTGAAAGCATGAGCTGTAGCTGTCCAAGTATGGATAGAATAACATGGGGTTGGATTCTGCCACCATGTTGTAGGGTCTTATAGGAAATGCATCTATTAATCCTTTCTGAGAGTGGCTGCTTTCAGATCAAATCCATGAACCCAGAAAAATACTCTTCTGCTCTCATCCAACATGCAGTGCCTTCTGCCCCAATCCCAAGCACTTTCTTCCCGGCAACCCTCCTCCTGTATCCACAGGTAAATGCAGGCACAGCAGCAAACGCTGGCTCTTGGGAATTTTAGTCTTTTCTCCAAGTAAGAGGGACGGCTCCTTTGGTGAGCCTCCCATCATGTCACCAGGTTGGCGGTAGAAGGTTTTTTTCATTTGCAGGTTTTCCTGCATGAACAGGGACAACGGCACTGTTCACCCTTCAGCGCATCAGGTCAACACATGAAGTTCATCCAAGAAGAACACTGATGCTCTTCTTCACATTGAAGGGAGGACTGAGAGCCCATTTGTTGCCTTTTGAGTGTCTGAATTGTAATCTCTCCAGCTGTTGATACTAAGAAGAGGCTATTGAAGAGGGCCATTGCCTCCCTCTTGATCGGTCCAGAGGGAGCCAGTGGGTGGAATCATTGTTGGCCAGAGCCTTCTAGTCCTTTTTCAATTCCAAGCCTGACCACATGTCCACCACTGCCATTGTGGACCTTCATGCTCTCAAAACCATCTTTGCTTATATCACCCATCACAAATGCAACCCTTCCCCTCCACAAATTCTGAATACATCTCCTGTCTTGCCCCTATTTTTTGATTCACATGCAAAGAGAATTAACCTGAGTTTCATATTTGCTTCTTTCTGCTTAGGTGAACCACAACGACAACTCATCTATAGAACAGAATGAAATGCTTGTTACATAAATCCGTAAATCAACTAAGGCAACTTATACCTAGTGACAGTGACAGAGGGAAGAAAGCAGTGCTACTCTGGCTACGTAGATAGACAGAGACAGATCCATAATCTCACCCACTGTATTTCTAGACCTATTTTAAAAGACAGTTGAACAGACAGACATAGACAAAGGAACTTAACATGTAGATGTTTCCATCTTTCCAGAAGCACCAATATTTGGCCCTTTAGATGCCTTATAAACAAAGCACTTGATACTTCCCTCGGGCATGTGGGTTCCGCCTTGCCATTGGCATACTCCATTGATTCCCCAAAAATTGCACACTCTTGGCCCTGAAACCCTACGCCCATTGTATGGAGGGTGTTCTTTGTTACCATAAGGCCTATGGTCCTATTTGAAATAGTTGAGTCCAGCCACAAGGAAAAATTTCTCCAGGAACAGTTCAGAATCCAATACGGCTATGTGCGCTGCCCGCCCGATCAGTGTGTTGGCCGTGTTTGGTAAAGCGTGGAACACATCGTGGCGGATCAAAGTGCAATCTTTGGCCCCAACTACCGGCTGGAGAAGATTGTTGATCATCTCAGCATACACTGGACCTTGGAAGGTTGAAGGAAGAGTATATGTTATTATCCAACATCTTCGTTACGCATGGTGTATTGCAATGTGACACAAAGCTCGTGAAGATAATGGAGATGATGGGATCAACAGTAATGAAGTCAATGTCGACAAGAATATATATTTGTGATGTAAGGTTCAAAGCCATTTATACACATCAACACAAATTCCCCCCACCTACTCACAGTAACAACTCCGACATCGTCACTTTTCCTCACCTCATCATCAACCTCTTTCTGGTTGGTACAATATAGATTATTTGGTTCTTCAGTAGAAATGGGAACAAACACAGTTCAGTGGTTTAGCCCAGTTCATAGTGGTGCTCACACAGGATGCTATGCACTCCACCTGCCTCCTCAGCATGCTCACCCAGTCCCCGGAAGAAGTGCAGTTTCCTCCCCTGCCTCCTCAGTGTGGCTGTCCATTCACCAGTCGCAGAGTGCACTTCCCTCCCCCATCTCTTCTGGCATCTGCCCACTCAAAGATAGTGCTGCAGGCTCCCCTGCCCCGACTCCTCATCTGAGTGGGCGGCTGCCAGAGGAGGTGGAGGAGGGAAGTGCACATTGCAATCAGTGAGCAGGCAATCTCATGGAGAAGGAAATGCACTTCAGCTCAGGGATAGGTGAGCATGCTGAGAAGGCAGGAGAAGGGAGAGGGCAGCACCCATAGAAGACTTGTATGAGTGCTGCACCAAACTGGGCCAAACCACCAAACTGTGGCACATGTCTATCTCTATTTGTCAGGCCTAACCTACTATGTACCTTCCCTGCTACAGTGCTTTCCAGAAGGGGATGACCAAATAAGAGGATGAGGTACATGTTATTTCACAATCAACTCTATATCCTATACCACCCAGAGAGAAAGAGGGGGAGATGAAGTTGTTTGTTCTTTAAATTTCATTCATTCATTCATTCATTCATTCATTCATTCATTCATTCATTCATTCATTCATTCATTCAAACACATTGCAGCACAGGTCCAAAGAATCCTGGCTAAAGAGGCTGAGAAAGAGAGAACTTCCGAATTTTCTTTGACATGTCCAGAAACATAGCTCAGCTATTGGGAATGTGGAAGCTTCCTGCAGGTGCAGCTGCTCATGATTCCACGAATTGCTCAGCATCCCCTTCTCTCCTCTAGGAAGACTGGCCTCCCTCCACCTTGTCAAATGACCGGTCTTTCTCAGTCTTGCTCTCCCTACTTGTGCATCTGAAATCTTTTGTGTAGTGAAGGAAAGGTCATTTCACCATTCAGTGGCACTGAATCCCCACCAGCCTCCCTCTCAAGACCCTCAAGTCAAGTGAGTGGGCTCTCTGAGGAAAATTGCTGGACAATTTCCTGCTGCAGCAAATGCAGGAAATGCCAGAGAGCCTGAAAGCTCCAAATGCTTTGTTATATGAAAACGCTTTCACAAAGTAAGATATTGTCGGAGCAAGTTCAGAGGAGGGCAAGAAGGAACCCACAGCCTAGGAGGAAAGACCGGAAGAACTGAGCATGTTTAGCTTTGAAAAAAGAGGTCTGAGGGTACACAGGTTAGCATTTTTCAAATACTTGAAAGGCTGTCATACAGAGGAGGGGCAGGATCTGTTCTCAATCATCTCAGAGTTCAAGGCATGCAATAATGGGCTCACAGGAAGCCAGATTTCAACTGAATATCAGGAAAACTGTCTTAACTGTTAGAGCAGTACGACAATGGAATCAATGACCTCTGGATTTGGTGCGCACTCCAGTGCTGAAGGCATTCCAGAAAAGATTGGTCAACCATACCTCAGATCTGCTTGGATTTGGATTCTTGCTTTGAGCAGGGGGTTGGACTCAATGGCCTTATAGGCCCTTTCCAGCTTCATTATTCTATGATTCTATGCAATGGTCCTAGAAACCCCATATGCTACCAAGACCCACAATTAGGGATATAACAAGTGCTCATAACATTTCTTATCCTGGATGATTTCCTGAGTCTCACCATGCCAGATCTTCCTATTACGACCTCCTCGGGCATCACTGAGACTTCCCAGCTTCCTAGAAAACCAAGATCCTGGACTTTCTTCATCCATCCGTCTGTCTATTTGTCTATCTATTCTGTCTATCTATTCTGCCAAATTCTGAACCGCTTGACATCTTTTCCAGTGAATCTTATGCAGGAAAGGTGCCATTCTATGCACAATTGTAATTAACTGAAAAATTTGACATTACTTCTTTAAAAAATGGCCATGAAGCATTCAATAAACCCTGTGAACATCACCAAAAGATTTCTCACTGGAAGCAAACCTCACAAACAGAACTCTGACTGTGAGGGGAGAAAGGTGATTCCGTACCCTCTTGATTTCTCTCTGAGGGTGAGAGGTGGCAAGATTTGCATCATTGGCCTACAATGCCCTGCTTTGAAGAAGGACCTTTTGGAGAATGCCATTGGGGGTCATAGGGCGGCAGGAGTGAGATGGGAAAAGGGGGCATCAAGCATATGCCATCCTGTCTCAGAAAGTGAGACATGCCGTCCTGGTTCCACCTTTGATCCACGTTGATCCTGGGCCTCGGAGAAAGGGAATTCAGTCATTTCTCCTTAAATAAATCTCTAACTTCCATGTTAGTAAACAGCCCGGAAAAATTCATTACATAGATGAATTCATTTTACACAAACGAATGAATGAACTAACAAACACACTTACCTGTATGTCTGTCTTTCAGAGCAGATTTGCACATTTCTATTCTCGCAGAATGAAACGGTACATAGCGATCTTGGGGAGAGGCTACCAGAACGACGTTTTTGAAATACTGAAGACCTGGTGGGGGGGAGGAAAAGAGAAATAAATTTGGGGTGTTACTTGAAGCCCCCTAGCTTCTTTAAAGAGGAGGGCAGGGGAGAAATCTGGCTTCTAGGACAGTGGTTCCCAGCCTTGGTTATATCACCGGTGTTCTTAAACTGCAACTCCCAGAAGCCCTGGCCAGCACAGCTGGTGATTGGAATTCCCAGACCAAGAACACCTGGGTTATCCAGGATTGGGAGCCACTGATCTAGGGAGTTATAATTATACAATCCATATGCCTTAAATTGTGTTATATATTTAGCAAGCAAGCAAGAGAATGAATGAATGAATGAATGAATGAAAGAAAGAAAGAAAGAAAGAAAGTAAGAGCTAGCTAACTAACTAACTAACTAACTAACTAACTAACTAACTAACTAACTAACTAACTAACTAACTAACTAACTATTGTAGGGATGTAACTCACAATATTTCTCATTTTCAGGAATTTTCTGAGGCTCATAATCGTGTGATTCCCTGTCAAAATCTTCTCCTGCATCAGTAAAATTTACTAGCTTCCTGAACAAGTAAGACCTTTGTCTCATGCTCCCTTTTGCCCTTTGGGCGGGAGAAGGTAAAAGTAAAGGTTCCCCTTGACATTGTCTCATGCTGCCTTTTGCCCTTTGGTTGGGAGAAGGTAAAGGTAAAGGTTCCCCTTGACATTTTTTTAGTCCAGTTATGTCCGACTCTAGGGGGCGGTGCTCATCCCCGTTTCCAAGCCATAGAGCCAGTGTTTTGTCCATAGACAGTTTCTGTGGTCACGTGGCCAGCACGACTAGACATGGAACGCCTTTACCTTCCCACCGAGGTGGTACCTATTTATCTACTTTTCTTTACATGCTTTCAAACTGCTAGGTTGGCAGGAGCTGGGACAAGCGACAGGAGCTCACTCCGCCACGTGGATTAGATCTTACGATGGCTGATCTTCCAACCTTGCAGCCCAGAGGCTTCTGCGGTTTAACCCATGTCCCGGGTGGGAGAAGAGATGGGCACAAACAACGGTTCAGCACTTCAGCAGCTTGGGCCCATGGATGTTGCATGGGTGCCCCATGTTCTCCACCATGTCTCTTCCCATGGGTGCCCACTCAGAACAGAGGTGGGGCAAGGAATCTGAGACACCTGCACAACACCTGTGGGCCCAATCCACCGAACCATGCCAAAGCCCTGAAATGTGCTTTGTGCCCATCTCTAGGTGGGAGTGTTGCCATTGTTTGCACATGGTTCTGTGCAGGCAACTGCCAATTTTGGCACAGTTTAACACTCTTCCTGGCGAATCCTACAAACAGTTGTATTAAAAATTATGCAACCCCCCCCATTGAAAATCGGGTTAATTGTCAAAATTTTCAGATTTTCAGCTATTTGCAATGAACAAATCAAACAAGAGCAATTGAAATTGCTCAACACAACAAAGGCTTCAAGTGGTTTCCCGAAATTCAACTGAAAATGCAAATGTTAATGTTGATTACAACTGTAGAACAGATGCTACTCTTAGCAGAGAATGTGACAATCATGTGCGTGCATGCGCATGGCCTGTGCCCCTTCGTTTGAAGAACTGGGGTGTGAAATCCAATCCAAGTGAAAATTTGGACTTTTGATATATGCTTTGTAGAAGTGGGATTTACCCACAAAAGTGCATAGAGGCTATGTTAGACTGGAACTGTAAAAATAGTTCACAACCTGAAATTTCTTCCAGGGAAAAAAATCACCAGAAAACATCAGAGATATCTCATGAGATTTGCTATGAGATTTTTCAAGTGGGGGGGGGTGGAATCACCCAGAAAAACCTTGTTGCAAGGGGGAAAAAAATGAACTTCCCACTGTTATAACCACCTTAGTTTCTCCCCATGAACCAGAGATTGCAAGAATCATATCTCTCTTCATATACTTTAGTAGTAATAATGTGTATTTTCTGTGTGTTGCAAAGAAGGGGAAAGTGAAGTTGAGTTCTAAATTGTGGCCATTTGTCTGGGGTCCAAAAAGGATATAAAAATATTTGGATTTAAGATGAAACCGCATGCTCTCCTTTCTGTCTCTTTCCCCTGTTGGCTTTTGTTTGAAACAAGAGTGTGATACTATTATTATTGTTATTATTGTTATTATTGTTATTGTTGTTGTTGTTGTTGTTGTTATTATTATCCTTTTTAATAATAATAATCATGATGATGATGATGAATGATGATGATGATGATGATGATGATGATGAAGGCAAGGTATAAGCTACAGCAGATATTACAGTGAGGGAGGCTTGAGACAGAGTTACCTTTTTTTTAAATGGCAGTGTTGTGTTTTTGCTTTTGTTCTATGTGTGCAATTTCAGGAAAGGCAACAAAGCCATCTGGCAACTAATGATACATGAAATATCAATGTCCCCCCCCCTCCCCGAGTTCTATCAGTTTTTAAAAATACTGGTTCGGTTAAGGATCTTGATTTGAATAGAATCCTACCCACCTGTTTTTTGGCTGAGCTGGTAGAGGAAACACTTCCGCAGATCTGCATTGTCTCTGAAGGTCAGTTGCAAAAGTGATCCAGATTTTTTGAGCTTCTGCATGAGCCACAAGCCTGGAAGAACAAAGGGATTGCTTGGGTTTTTAAGAGGAAATATGGGATCAAGCAAGTAAAAGTGGTGTAAGCTTCTGAAAACCTTCCTTTCTACTTGTGCAGAACATGAAGTTCTTCATGGCTTAATTAGTGGGTAATATACTTTGAAGCTATGTGTACATGCACCTATGTGTATATACAAGGACACAGCGGAGAGAGGCTGCTGGCTATATCAATGAAGTCAATGGATTATTAAGTGATCAACAGAGAGCAAAAGTTCTGTTCAGAGCAGTTCTTGTATTAATTAAGAGGAGAAGTTGTTGGTCCTTGAGCAGATCTGGGCCATGCAAAGATACAAAAGAGGAACCAAAATAAGTTTGGAAAACTCCAGACCTTGAATGGCTATGTCCAGATCACACTTTTGAAAAACAGCCCTGGCAATCGCTTTGTCTACCTTGAATGAGAAGCAGTTCACATACTGATGAAAAAAAAGGAGTCAGCTTCTTGGATGTTCCCTTGCTTAGTGTTATTTAGTGAATGGTAGTGAGTACAAGAGGGCATCCTATAGACTATCTTGACTGCTGCCATTGGTAGTGTCAACATTCAGGCTGCCTTTAGCTATGTACAGCGTGGCATCCATTTTCCTGCAGATACAATATTGTCCAGTGATATCAGGCTGTTTCCTGGTGTTTTGAATCACGGATACAGAAGCACGATATCCCACATTTTTGAAGGACTGACTTATTTTCTGGCCTTGGAAAGCAAGCCAAAGGACCAGCTCCCCTACAAGTTTGCTTCCTTGAGGAAGATGGTGGAGCAACCTTTTTGGACCCCAAAATTAAACAGTCGGCAAAGGATATAAAATGGATATTAAGCAGAAGTAAGTGGCGAAAATTCCAAAGCTTTAAAATTCTGAGTTCCGAATCTGAAGGGCTGAAATTCTGAATCCAAAATCTGAATTTCTAATCTGAATTTTGGTGCTAGTGCAGATCTATATTATTTTTTTGCATCACTATTGTAGAGAAGGGGTGTAGGGGACGGTCGCCTTTTGTCAGTCTAAGAGGGAAACATAGATATGCACACACATCCTTACTCAAATAGACTAATCTTACAATTCATTCCACAGTGTGTACATGGGCCCAGAGCCTGCATCTTGACAGCTAATCCTTCACTATGGCTCTAGAATGGATGAGTGGATGCCAAGAACTGAAATGAAATCAGTTCTAGCTGTACTCTTTCCCAATGTCCAAAAGAGCATACATTTACATTCTCTTCCAATGCATACCCTTCTCTTATCCAGGCTGTCTCTGAAGATCTCTCCACACACACCTATCATTCTTGGTTCATTTTATGCCTTCAATTACGTTGGTTGCTGTTTATAAGACTCCCCATCAAATTATATACAATATGAATTGTCCCGTCTCTCTCAACTCTTCTCTAGGCATCTTAAAAATGCTGCCAAAGCACTCTTACCGGTACTAACTAAAGTACTGTTGTTGTACAGAGTTCCTAGGTGAGGTCCAGAGAGGGACAGGAAGGTGTGTAGCTTATTGAGGTAATAGCGAAACCTTGGTCGAGTCAACACAGATCGGATGATGACATTTCCAAGGGAGTGGCCAATAAAACTGCAAAAACAAGGACAAAGGATTACAATACAGTAGGTCCCCCTTATCTACAGGATCAGTATCTGCTGATTCACTTATCCACAGACTGAAAATATTAAAAATATTAAGAGAAAAATTCTAGACAAATATAATTCAGAATGTGAGATTACCAGAACTGGCCAGTAGAGGGAGCCAGAGATCATGCTATGTATAGTGTTCACTGGAAAAAAATATATTTCCACAATGTCCTTACCAGACCTGGCCACTAGAGGGAGCCAGAAATCATGCCACATGTAGAGTTTGCCATAATTAGAGATGGGGGTATTCGTATACGAATAAGAATATTCCCGCACAGGTGGCATTAATGAGGGTCACTCCACTCACTGATCCGATGTGGACAGCACAATTCTACCAATGGCTTTGCAGCGCGTTATCCACTCACCACTCCTGGCAGGAGGCGGGAGAAGCCTCACTGCAAGGTTGAAGAGTGGCGAGTAGATCATGCGCTACGGAGCCATTGGTAGAATCGTGCTGTCCATGTCCGCAGCAGATTGGTGAATCGACCGTCTGGCCCCATGGGGTTGGATCCTCATTAACACCACCTGTGGGGGGAGATATTCGTATACAAATACGAATATCTCCATCTCTAGCCATAATCCATGGGCAAATTGGTGAGTTGACCGTCTGGCTCCATGGGGTTGGATCCTCATTAACGCCACCTGTGGGGGGATATTCGTATACAAATATGAATATCTCCATCTCTAGCCATAATCCATGTTTTTCAGCATGTGCAGGTGGATGGCAGGTGGGAAAGCTTGGAATCAACCCCTGTGGATACAGGGGTCCTACTCCACTGTTATTGAGTTTGTTGCTTCTTCAATGCTATATTCCACAGACGTTTTGCCATGAGATAACCCCGGTGGAGACCCTTAGCCTATTTGCCCCAATCTTGATTTTTACCTGATCCGCGATATTGACAAGTTGTACAACTGAATGTGCTGAATGATCTCATCAAGCAACCGGTCCGTCATGGTATCAAAGTCGGCGAAGGTATCCGTCTGTGCAAGAGCAAGAGAGAGAATGATGTCAGTCGAGCATCGTGCCTCCTGCCTACAGCCAGTATCAAGCTCCGACGTCCATGGGGCAGGAGGTGAGGAATCCCCTTAGTTTTTTAGTCCAAACTTTAAAGTAACTCTCTGAGCTTCTAGGCTTATATGCAAGACAGGGTTTGCCACCTTCAATAGCTCCTGCAAAGTTTGGACTCAGACCTGGAGAGAATTTATCATCCTGCTGACATCCATTGACTGAAGCACAGTTGCAATGAGTACCACGTGCGGTATTGTGCAGCCATCACACAATAACTGCTGCCCAAATTGCCGGGTTAAAACAGGATTCCATCTGAAGCCTGTTGGTTAATTAGCACTTGGTGAAGACCACTGATGCTCTTAGACTGCAATGCGAAGCCAGATGCTGCCATTTGGGAGAAACTGAAAGGAAATACTTTGGAGAGCAAAATTCATTGGGATCAAGGTGGCAAATGTAGAACTGGGCTGTTTCATAATCCCCGGAGCTTTGCATCAGATTCAAAGCTAATGAAATGCCAGGGAAGTAATAATCAGATGTTGGGGTACAGATTCCGGGAAATGTATCCCGTAATTAATGTCTCTTTGTGTGGGTGAGAAAAATCCATCTCACTAATTGCAGCTCTTTCAAAAGGAAAGTGTGAGAGAGAGAGAGAAAGGAGGAAAAAAAATGAACACATCCAATTCCCAATGAAGCACCCTTCTAAACTAAATATAGATTCCTGCTTGTTTGTTTTGCCTGCAATGATAGCTAATTATTTTCTCTGAAACTTGCTGTCTTCAACATTACATCTTCTTTAGGAATGAAAGACCCCATTTAATCACAGGGCATAAAGGAAAGGTATGTGGAACCTCCTTATTTAGAAGCAGTGTACCACTGAAAACCTATCGCAGGGAGCAACATTCAGAGTAAACAGCTGCCTTCATGCCCTGGTTCCAAGAGACACCTGGCTGTCCACTGGGGGCAGCAGGACATTTAGATATAAGCAATAATTTTAGTATTCTTAGTGCTATCCACTTATTTATCTGACTGAATTTATTTATTTACAGTATTGACTTTATTTATTTGTTCTGCTTCCCTCCCAGAATTGGGATTGAAGGCGACATACAAGAAGAGTAGAAGCAAGCCAAAAGCTAAAACACAGTTGTGCAAATTATAATACCAGAACTCACTTCATTTAGAAAGCAATTCAACAATACATCAGTGAAGAAACACAAGATGACCACCAGCTGTGAAAAGGATTCTCAGAAACTAGTCAGTTACCCAAAGATCAGCAAAATCAAAAGGATTATGCCTACCGGCGAGGGTGCCAGACCCTTAAGAAAAGACAAAATAAAATAAAAGCATGTTTCTCAGCCCTTCAAATGCACACATTTTATCTACCACACATCTCCACCCCACTCCTGTCCCGAGGCTAAGTTCCACTACAAAACAAATCAGAATCTCTGAATTTTATATTTTTCATACGAGATCAAATATATGCAACCCAAACAATCCTATCAATGTAGTGGCTGGTTTCTTATTGGTTTTTGAACAACATATATATAATCTTCTCCAGCTAGTTGGGGTGAATTGACAAGCTGTTGGGGTGCACCTGGGTTGACTAATCAGGCATGTGATGACACACCCAACTGAGATGCACCTTAACTAGAGACGGGCATGAAACAAACCACAAATAAAAAAAAAAAAAGGACCAATTCGTGTTTTGTTTCATTGACAGTTCGAGGAAACATTAGCTGTACTTAGCAGATCTTTGAGGGACCGATTCGTGTTTTGTTTCATTGACCGTTCAGGGAAACATTAGCTGTACTTAGCAGATCTTTGAAAGGCGGAGATATGGATTACAAATCATAAAATATTCTAGTAAAAACAAATTGTCCTTCAGGAAGGAGAAATGTTCAAATAAATAAATACAAAGAATGACTCAAATACCTGGTTCCTTTCTGACATCAAAAAGTCAAGTTTTCCTCCAGGGAGACCCAGTTCGATGAAAGTTTTCACCAGTCGAAGATCTGCACTGTTACCTATGAAAACATCAGTAGACTTTGCTAAGATACGAATTCTGGAGAACATCATACACTTACCTGTCTTCCATTCTTGCTACCCTACTTGAGGAGATTGGGTATGCCGTTTTGGGTCCACCCCTTTCCACAGTAATTATCTGGAGACTATTCTACTATTCCACAAATCCATATTTAACAGAATGGAGATGGCCAACGTTGGCCATTTTGGAAAGCTGAGTCCCTTTGTTTGCTCTGGGAGTAAGTGGAAGTAATGGATTTCTAAGTTATATGTATGGGGTGCCAATTAGACACTTGTAACCAAATCCTGCATTTATTCATTTATTTTATTTATTTTTGGACTTATATACCACTCCATAGTGCTACAAGCACTCTCCGGGCGGTTTACAATTTCATTATACAGGCTACACATTGCCCCCCATCCCCAGCAAGCTGGGTACTCATTTTACCGACCTCAGAAGGATGGAAGGCTGAGTCAACCTTGAGCCGGCTACCTGGGATTTGAACCCCAGGTCGTGAGCACAGTTTTAGCTGCAGTACAGCGTTTTAACCACTGCGACACGAGGCTCTTCACAACTCCTGCATCACAACTCCTGAATGTTACGTTCTCACATGGGGAAGGTTGGTGCAGTTTCTATGAACAACTTCACAACAGCAAAGTACACTCCTTTTAATGCATTTTTGGTGGCTCCGAAAAAGGCAAAGTGGTTCACAGAGAGAACGACCCAACACCTCGGCAGCACTGCCTCCTCCTGGTAAAAAGGTAAAGGTAAAGGTTCCCCTTGACATTTTTTTACTCCAGTTATGTCCGACTCTAGGGGGCGGTGCTCATCCCCGTTTCCAAGCCATAGAGCCAGTGTTTTGTCCGAAGACAATCTTCCGTGGTCACATAGCCAGTGCGACTTAGACACGGAATGCTGTTACCTTCCCACCGAGGTGGTACCTATTTACCTACTTACATTTGCACGCTTTCGAACCGCTAGGTTGGTGGGAGCTGGGACAAGCAACGGGCGCTCACTCCTTCGCGTGGATTCGATCTTACGACTGCTTGGTCTTCTGACCCTGCAGCACAGGCTTCTGCAGCTTAGCCCACAGTGCCACCACGTCCCCCTACCTCCTCCTGGTATTTTTAAAGTAACGACTAGAAATGATCATGAATCTTGGGTTCAGCTGTTTGTGCCGGTTCACAACTCCTGAATGTTACATTCTCACAAGGGGGACGGCTGGTGCAATTTCTATGAACAACTTCACAACGGCAAAGTACACTCCTTCCTTTTAATGTATTTTTGGTGGCTCCAAAAAAAAGGCAAAGTGGTTCACAGAGAGAAATATCCAACACCTCAGCAGCACTGCCTCCTCCTGGTACTTTTAATGACTCGAAATGATCACGAATCTTGGGTTCAGCTGTTTGTGCCGGTTCATTTATTTGTTGAGCAGGTGTTTGGTGATGAACGGTTCGGCTTCCTCTTGGAGTCAGCAGCCTGGCTTCCTTGTCCCACCTCTTCCAGGTGCTGCCTCCGAGTGGGTGCCCAACGAAGGAGACTTTGAAGAGCTGCATACCCGTTCGGACGATAAACGAACTGGCACGAATCAGCGAACTGTGGTTCATGCCCATATCTAGCAATGACTATAGCCCTAATCGCCTCCCATGAAATGTTTATGGGATTCCCTCTGGCAAAGCTTTTCTAATCAGCCTCTGTATTAGTCCCACCAATGACGGCCTCAAGTCATCATTCGCTAGGGTGAGTCATATTGGTTCAGGGAGGGAGGGGGGTGTTCCATGGATCCTTGTGAAGCCCGTGCTTACCATCCAGCCCATGGACGCAGACCACAAGGTGAATCCCATCTTCCAAATCTTCTTCCTCTTCCTCTGGTGGAAAATATGGGATATCAGAAGCTAGTACAGATAAGTCACTGTACAGAAATCCTTCAGTCTTCAGTTCCTTTTTAAATTTTTCCTTGGCCTGATAAAAACTGGAGAATACACTAATAAATGACAGGTTGAGCTGGGCATTTAACAAGAAGTGACATTTCTAAATCAGAGGATTATTTTAGTTTAGATTAGGTTTTCTTGGCATGGGAGGTAAAATCCTTTCTCCAAAGCTAAGGTGTCAATTGTACGAAAACAACTAGAGACAAGCACTTACATAGTTTGGTGCTTTGGCACAGTTCAGCGGATTGGGGCAACAGGTGTCATGTGGGTGCCCTAAATTCAACGCCCCGTGTCCTCCTGGAGGCACCCACTCAGATGAGGAGGCAAGGCAGGGGTTCCTGCAGTGCTGCTGTGAGTAAGCAGCTGACCCTGCCTCTTCCTGCGGGCACCCACACAGAGGAGGCACGGCAGGGGAGTCTGTGGCACTGCTTCTGAGGAGGCGGGGCACAGAATCCGGGGCACCTGTGCAACACCTGTGGGCCCAACCCGATGAACCACACCGAACCACAGTAAGAGCCCATCTCTAGAAACAACTAACATTCAGATGTACAGATCCCAATGAAAACATCAGTTATTTAGATTCCCAGTAACAAATGCAAATCGCCTTCCCCACTAACATACAAACCAAACTTTGTGACACAAGAAATGTCCCCTCTTTGAACACTTTATATATGGATGGGTGTCTGTATGCATTTTAATTAGGCTAAATTTCACAGTCCCCTGAAAGTTTGCTGTGGCCTGTGGTCACATCCCTTTTTAAATATGGCAATGCTTATCTTAAGAAGTCTGCCCAAATAATTCCACATAATTTTTTTCTGCTACCTATTTTTTTTAAAAAAAGTATATTTTACACACTTTTCTGTTATACGTACCAATTTTGCAAAAGATCCCCCCTTTTGAATCCCCCCCATAAAATATATTCCTGTGTATTTCCCAGCCTACAGAACACCTTTGTGTGTATGTGTGTTTATGATTAGAGATAGGGGTATTCATATACGACTATCCCAGGTGGAAATAACGAGGGTTCAGCCCCATGGGACCGGACTGTCCACTCACAATTTCACTGCTGCTGCCGGCTCCACAGTGCCTTTCCGTCATGCTATTGTCCACAATGATTATCCAGTCCTGGCAGGAGGTGGCTAATCGGAGAGTGGCTCATCCATTGTGGAGAACAGAGTGATAGGAAACCTCAGTGGAGCCAGCAGCAGTGGCGAAATTGTGAGCTAATCGGACAGTGGCTCATCCATTGTGGAGAACAGAGTGATAGGAAACCTCCGGGGATACCCCCATCTCTATTAATGATCTCAACAACAACATTCTGAAAAGTGATGATTTCAGTATATACCCCCATCTCTATTTATGATCTCAACAGCAACATTCTGAAAAGTGATGATTTCAGTATATGTATATTTTGATTCCTATGTAAGGCCACCAGGTTCCGATTTAGTAACTTCAGAGAAAAATACAGACCTTACAATTTTCCCTACACCTGCATTCGATATCTACGGATAGACAATGTTGATGGACCCCTGTACACATGGGCATGTGCTCTATAGACAACCAGGGAGCCCAAGGAATGAAGCAGATTCTGGAGGATTAAACAGAGCTTGTTACCTAAATCCAACCTGCATGTTGAGATACATTCTACAGCTGAGCCGAAAATGTAGTGCAACAAGCACAACTGATTACTCCGATGCTGCCCGGGAGGTTTTAAAGGAGTACATACAGATTGCTAACTTCCGATCCTACCTGTATGGAGCTTTGCAGGTGAAAAGTAGCTACAGTATGGTTGCACTATCTGCAGGGGGTCGGTTCCAGGTCCCTCTGTAGATGCTGAAAAACCGTGGAAGTACTGAACACTATACAAACATCCCCACCCCTTGGAACAAATCGATTCTTACCTAAGCATTCTTTCATTGGCCTCTTCGTCCACGTCACTGGACTCACAGGAGATGACCCCAAAGGAGCCCACGGGCTGGTGAGTGATAGGAGAAGTGACTTGCTTGGAGGAGAAGCCACCCGTTGGCGGAGACTCTTTGAGGACTGAAGAGAAAGGAAGACAGGTGGCTGTACAGGAAACGGACAAGTTGACAGCCTCGATGACCTTTTTGCTCTCAAGCACCAACGCGTCGGGCACGACGGAATGGAATCCTGTGTTGCTTGAGACGATACGGAGCTCTTGGCTTTCCAGCTCGCCACTGGAGGATCTGCATGTGCCTATGTTGTCCAGCTCAATCTCTTGCAAGTCAGAAACTGCTACCCTGCAGGATGTTATTTTGCCATTGGCGCGAGAGCTATCACCCCGTTCCTCTATCGAAACAGAACCTAAGGGCTCCTCTGATGATGCTGCAATGGTGGGGCAAAAGTCAGGCCCTTGTGCCTCGCAGCGCGAGAAAGCCTCAAAGTCCGTAGAGGACAGGCAGTGGCCTCTGTGCAAATCTGCCTCTTCGGCATACGCATTAAGATGAGCAACATTTGAACCTAGGTGGTCACTTGCCCTTCCCAAGTCAACCTCCTGTGGTCTGTTTGGTAACTGGTATACAGCTGTCCCATTTAGATTTCCTTTTGGCTTTAACAGTGCAGGCTCTTTTTCCGTTTTCAATCTGTAGTCCATCTCCGAAGAGCCTTCAACAGCTGTTGGACAGTCAGACATGTCACCATTTTGTTCAAAGATGAATTCGGGATGCTTCACGGCCATGGTGAATAGCTGTGGTCCTTCATCTCCTCTGACAGGGTGGCACTTGGAAACATTTCCCATTAAAGCTATGCTGGGATACTCTACCTCCGTGTCTCTCCCTTCTGCAACGTCTGACATGGTACTGGCATTTTGGGTTATATCCATGTCCTCCACCGCCTCCTCGGGGCTGCTGATCTGGGGAGCCGAGATAGATTTGGTCAGTTTGTTGGGTTCCACTTCCCGCTCTTCCTCTTCATACGGCAAAGAGCTAATTGACGTGAGTGAAGCTTGGATGCCACTGGGCAAACTCGTGTTACTTTCCGTGTGCCCACCTTCCAGAGAGTTCCGGTGAATTGTGCATCTCCGGACCAGCTGGTGAAGGATCTCTCGGTCGCTGGGCAACTCCAAGGCCTTGCTCCTTCCCTCAGACCAAGCGACTGAGCTGGGCTCACTTTCAATGCCCGAGTCTGAGATTAGCGAGGAAGATCTTTTAATGACGCCTGACGTATAGCTAAACTCTTCAGGCTCCTGTGGTCTTTGCTCTTTCAAAAAAGGCTTGGCCCCTTCCATTTCTTTCGCTTGGCTCACTGAGCCAATATCAGATGCCCTCAAAGACTCCCCACCCTCATTCTCTGGCTTCTCATAACCGGGTTCTCCATTTGTGTCAGTCATGAGAAGAGACCCCAAAGGATCCCTTTGAGCTTCTTGATTTGGTTCAGTCCTGTCCGCAGGGTTTGGATGTCCACGTGTGTCACTGTCAAACTGGGGAGTCATAAATGCCATTGATTCTCTTTGGTGGGCACCGTTACACGTTGGCTTCACGTCCAAAGGTTCCACCTCTCCTGTGAACTTATTATGGTCTTCTGAAAACTCCACTGGCATTGTCAGTCTTTCTGAAGGGTCTTTCAGGAGGGCTGTTGGCCTGCTACCGAGCTGTGACTGATTCTCATGGGACTGGACACTTCCACTTGTTGCATATACCTGAGTTGTGGAGGGATCCTTGAAATGCTCAACTGTACAAGAATCTCCTTCTGGATGGCTACAACTACATAACGATTTCCCATTTATTCTATCTGTGTGGATGACGAATGGGGCTTTCATCCCATGATCTCCCTTTGCTAAAGCGTTGTCATCTTCTGTGGGAGGGTAGTCTTTTTTCTCTAAGTCCACTTGCGAATTATCCACAGGAGAAACCACAAAATTTGACAAAACGTCTAAGCCCTGGACTGAAAAAGAAAGAATAAAATTAGCCTAGAAGCCAGCACACTGAATTCGTATACAGGTGACAGAAAATAATTATTTATGTAAAAATTGCTCGTCTGCTCCTATATGTAAAGCTGTGCCAACTCTCCATTTCAAGAACTGCTGCTAAAGGTGGACCTGGATCCTACTTGTATTTGTGTAAGTTGCTACAGAGAAGCATTGCCAACTGATGGAGTGCAGAGGCATGTCTCAGTTGTGTGTCTGGTCACACACCTGATTTGAAACTGCAGTACACTGTGGCATCTCATCCATTAGTTACGCAAACCTTACAGGAACACCAATAAGATTGTGCATATTGTGGTTTAAAAACATAATTTAGCTTCTCGCACCTTTTGCTGGATGCTTTATATAAGGAAGAACTTCCAGATTTGAATTTACCGCATGCTTTTGGTTTAACAAGGGGGCATCATTCTGAAAAAAAAAATGAGCTCTAAATTGAAGCCTTACAACCATTTTTGGCTGTAAAACATCTACTGATGATTTGATTTGCAAGGAAACCCTTGGTCAATGTCAACTTTTGGTGGCAACCCTAAATATTTAGGTCTGGGGAGCAGGAGCTTGGATGAAGCCATACCAAAGTAACAGCACCCAATCCAGTGCACCCACAATTGTCTGATGCTTTGTACATGAGTGACGAAAAATGAACTACAGGTTTTGTGTAGATGGCTACTAGACAGTGTTGGTGATTATACAAGGTTGTGCAAAGTGGTTTCTATATAGCTAGAGTGCCTAGAATTTTGCTAAATTAAACTGAATAGAGGTGCATTTATGAAAAAAAAATTATGAAAATGGGCTCCCCCACTTACTTTTATTGTATTCATAAGCCTTTCACCCAGAACTGGGACTCAAAACAAAACTGTTTAGAAAAATAGAAAATTACGATGCGACAGAACTGCAAACATTAAAATAGGACTAAATTCATGGCTGGATATCTCAGTGGTTTAGGTATCCAGTTGAGGAGCCGGAGGTTGGGAGTTTGATTCCCCACTGGGTCTCCTGGGAGTAGAGCCAGCCTGTGTAGCCTTGGGCAAGCGGCACCAGTCCCATGGTTCCATGAGAAGAAAGGAATGGTAGACCATTTCAGAGTATTCTCTACTTGGAAAACCCTGAAAAAGGGTCACCATATGTCAAAATTGACATGATGGGACATGATGATGATTAAATTCATTACAACATTAAAACTAAAACACTAAAAAAATGATTAAGAATGCTAATAATGTTTCAAAGAAAGACCCAGCACATTGGGCAAAGTCTTATAATTTGAGGCCTGGCTGATAAGGTCAGGTCTTTGACTATCACTGGAAGGAAGGAAGGAAGGAAGGAAGGATGGATGGATGGATGGATGGAACTAATAACGGTTCAAATAAAGAGCCAGCCTGGCTGATAAGGTCAGGTCTTTGACTCCCACTGGAAGGAAGGAAGGAAGGAAGGATGGATGGATGGATGGATGGATGGATGGATGGATGGATGGATGGATGGATGGATGGATGGATGGATGGCCAAACTTGGCTTCTCGGCAAGGAGTTTCAGAATCAAGCTTGGCCACTAGAAGGCGCCCTCAACCAACAGGCCTCTGAAACTAACTAGGTATGGGATAGCTACAGGAATATTCAACTTTCGGGGGATGGGTGTGAATCCAGACTTATTATGGCAAATGATGTATTTCCACTTCTGTGATTGTGCACGAAAAGCATAATAGACTGGACTCACTGCTGCTCATGGCTTGCTCAGTCAGTTTTTTTTTTTTTTTTTTGTTTTCACCTCTGCGATTGTGCACGAAAAGCATAATAGCTTGCTCAGTCAGGTTTTTTGTTGTTGTTGTTGCACATCCTGGTATGTGTTCAAAACACAGGCAGCCATACCAATTGATGCTAACCTGGATCATTATGGCACTAAGATATGACTTGCTTGAAGTTTAATCACCACCACCACCACCACCACCACCACCCCCCCTACCATCATCATCATCACCACCACCACCACCGTCGTCGTCATCATCATCATCATCCTCATCATCATCATCATCATCATC